GATCGATGCCTGGTTTTTGTGACATTGAATTGAACCTGGTTACTTTCACCCAAATTTGAAATCACTTCTAGATCCTCATTGACATATGCAACGTTCTGCTGCCGGTGAAGATGTGCCTCCATAGCCGATGTCCTGGAATCCAAATGGAATGATGAGGCATGCGTGCTGTCGTCGTAATAAAAAGAGGACTGGAGACAATATGGATCCCTTGGAAACACCAGCGTTGATGGTGAAAGTATTCGAGAGATATGCATCAACGGCCACTTGCAGGAAACGTTCTTACAGGAAGCTGAAGAGTAACACACAAAAATGATACGACTAGCCATAGCATCGGAGTTTGGCCAGCAAAACCTAATGCCACACACGGTCAAAGGCCTTAGAAATATCAAGCTTTTGATTTTCCATGTTTCTCGATTGCGTTATTCCAAATATGGGTGATATACGATAGAAGGTCGCCTGTTGATCTTTGTTTCCGAAAGCCATATTGATGATCGCCCAAGATATTGAAGCCTTCCAAATATTTGAAGATATGGTGGTTTTCCACCTTCTCCAAGATTTTTGATATCACTGATAGCAAACCGGCTGGTATATAGTTATTTGGAAGATTTTTCTTGCCCTTTTTGGGAATAGGCTGAAAGCGAGCAATCTTCCAACTAGGAGGAAAAACCCCTTTCTTGTAAGATAGGTTGAAACGTCTGCAAAATACTGGTGTGACTTCATTTGCACACTTTTTAAGTACGATGACGAGCACTTCATCAGGATCAGACGACTTGTTGATATTGAGCTGTTTCAAAATTCTCTGCCGAAAAGTAATTTCCGGCATTGGGATTCTAGTGTGGGAATAGTGGGTGGTGCCTTTCCCAGAAAGTTGACTGTCGAGTGGGACGCAAATTGTTCAGCTAGTAGATTTGATTTTTCTATGGCCGTTGTTGCAATTGAACCATCCGCTCGTCATTTTTTACACTTGTCAAAACTGCCACTAGTCAGAGACATGTATATCAGTCAACCCTATCAGGCAGCATAGCGAATGTAGTAAAATTGCAAAAAAAACAATTTGTAACTGAATAGTTGCTAATGAGTTGCCAAAACAACGATTTTGTTGCTCGTGCCGATCCCTAGAAATCACAAATAATGCTATTGTGATATAAAGGTAGCAAGGTAACTCAATAAATTATATACTTTTCCTTTGATCTTTACAGAATATTTAGTTGCTAAATCTTGGATATAGCGAAACATTTTTAAATATTTTTTTTTAAATATTTTTTTTCTGATCTTGCTATCTTGAAACTGGTTTTTTCTGGAATTGAAGATATTCTAAGTTTGTTGCTTACCAAGAGTAAACTTAAATACACCTTGAGTATCAGCAACAAAATAGTTGATACTGATCAACCGATTTTTATTTTTTTTCATTTTCCTCATTCTTGCTATCTGAAACAGGTTTTCTTTGGAATGAAAAGTGTTTTGAATTAGTTGCTCATATGGAGGGTACTCAAATACACTCCGAGAACCAGCAACAAAATAGTTGGCCTTGATCGGCCGATTCTTTTGTTGTTGGTTCGTCATGTATGTCTTTAAGTATTATCAGTTTGGCAAAAAATTTACAGCTCTTTTCATTCGAGAAAAAATCAAGATAGTAAAGTAAGGAAAATTAAAGAAAAAATAAAAATATCAACCGGACTATTTTGTTGATGATTCTCCAAGGGTATTTGAGAACTTTCTTGTTGAGCAATAACTTTAGAATACTCTGTATTCAAGGAAAAAGCGGTTTCAAATTAGCAAGAACGAGGAAAATTAAAAAAAAAATAAAAATCGGCCGATCGGTTTCAACTATTTTGTTGCTGATACTCAAGGTGTCTTTGAGTATACTCCTGGTGAGCAACAAATTTGAAACACTTTTTATTCTGAGGAAAACCAGTTTCAAGATAGCAAGAACGTGGAAAATGAAAAAAAAATAAAATAAAATCGGCCGATCGGTTTCAATTATTTTGTTGCTGATTCTCAAGGTGTATTTGAGTATATTCCTGGTGAGCAACAAATTTGAAACACTTTTTATTCCAAGGAAAACCAGTTTCAAGATAGCAAGTACTTGGAAGATAAAAAAAATTGAAAATCGGCCAATCGGTTTCAACTATTTTGTTGCTGATACTCAAGGTGTATTTAAGTTTACTCTTGATAAGCAACAAACTTAGAATATCTTTAATTCCAGGAAAAACCAGTTTCAAGGTAGTAAAATCAGAAAAAAATTTTTTCGCTATATCCAAAGTTTAGCAACTAAATGGTAACTAAATCTTCTGTAAAGATCAAAGTAAAAGTATATAATTTATTGAGTTACCTTGCTAGCTTTATATCACGATAGCATTATTGCGATTTCTAGGGATCGGCAAGAGCAACAAAATCGTTGTTTTGGTAACTAATTTACAGCTATTTAGCTACAAATTGATGTATTTTTTTGCAATTTTGCTGGATTCGCCATGCTAGCCTGATAGGGCTATATCAGTCTGCGGCTGTACTACTTACTACTCTTTGACTTTCCGATTTTTATTTATTGAATTGAACTGTTCTATTTGGAAATTTTTAACAAATCATATCAACTAGCCTAGAGAAAATCCTAACAAAAATTTAACTTCGATAAAGTCCACTATTTTTAACTGTATATCTCTCAACAAGTTATTAGGTTATTTCAAATGTTTTGTCCCTTTCAGTGTCATATGTTTTTGTAGCTCCATATCTCAATATCAATCAATCAATCAATATTCATTTTACCGTGTCGTGGTATGAACTGATCGATAGAGAATTTGGTACTCTATACTGTACATTTTTTCCAAATTTTAATTTTTTCCCTCTTTTTAGCTCATTACTATATGATGTTGAGTGATTTTTGGCCAATTTTTCTCTACGAGTTCAAATTGAACCGAAGTTCTGCCGAAACAGCCCAAAAATTAAACAGGCATTTGGCAATAATAGTGTTAATGAACGAACTGTTCGACGAAATTTCATTCAGAAGATTTTAGCTTCGAAGATGAGCTCCGAAGTGGTCGACCTAAAGTAATCTAGGATGAGGATTTGAAGACCTTGGTAGAGACTGAGCTATCACATACGATGCGAGGGATGGCTGGAAGAACTGGGCGTCAGCTCTCATGCGGTTTCTGATGGTTTGAAACGTATTGGAAATGTCAAAAAGCTCCCACGATCTGAACGATCGACAGAAATTGTCATGTTTCGAGGTCTTTCTTCTTTGCTTTTTGGGATCAAAACGATTCTTTTTTGGATCGGATCGTTACGTGTGATAAAAAGCGGATCCTCTACGATAACAGAAAACGTTAAGGACAGTGGTTGGCCACAGATGAGCCACCTAGGCACTTTCCGAAGGGAAATCGACTAAATGTACAAAAAATTTTGTCAGCAGCTGCCGGCACTGGTCAACAGAAGATGTCCGATCCTGCTCCAAGACAACGCCTGTCCGCACGATTCACAAATCACCGTCCGAAAATAAAAAGAATTGAGCGTCGAAGTTGTGCCTCACCCACCATACTTCCGAAACTATTCGCCAACCGACTACCATTCAAGCACTTCGATAACTTTCTTGCCGATAGAACCAACGTCAATCAGTGTTAGGCCAAAATGACCTTCGTCCACTTCATCGAATTCCGAGCACCAAATTTTCATGCTAACGAAATCAATCGAAATCTGTTACGTTGACAAAAGTGTACTGATTTGAATGACGCTTATTTCGATTAAAATGAATAAGTACTTATTGAAATATTACAGTTCAAAATTGACTCATAAAAACGGACAAAACTTTTGAAACAACCTAATATAGATAAATTACCGCTTGACATGTTCCTCAGTGTGTTCATTTCATTTGATACGTCATTGTTGCATGCTCGATCCAAACAACGTAAGCATCTTTATTTCCTCCATTTTGAATTTTTTTCCCTAAGGCTAAAATTCTTTCAGCATATCCTAGAAATGCTAGAAAAACATATTCCACATCTTTCAAATTCCGCCATATTGAATTCAGAATGACGTCATTTTATGTTTTGAATACCTTTCAGTAAACTCTTTGATTTGATATCCGTAATACGGGGGTGCAAAAAAACGAGTACGCAGTCTCGTGTGGTCCAATTCCGATTTCCACAGATACTCTACAAGATATGGAGACTCAATTAGACTTCAAAAACATTCAACTACAATGTTCAAAAGCAGTCCGACATTTGATGGAGCGAGGTTTTTTAATAAATTGCGTAATTTCAAATACTTTTTTAATCAAAACTCGTTTGTATAGTGAGGGCGAGTTTTTCAACTATGTTGTGTAATATATTCAGATAATAGTAATGTATATGCATATGAGTGTATATAAGTGTATCAGTTTGAATCTGTTTAAAATCTGTTTTTCCGTTAATCAGCTGTCGCCCCCATAAGGGTTGTAGAATCATCCCAGCTTCAACCAGATAAATTCCCTCGGGAAAAATATCTGGTCGAGGCAGGAATCGAACCCACAGCCTTCCGATCGTGATTCGGGCGCACTACCACCGCGGTCAATTTCATATTAATATGTATATCTAGTCGCAATTTTGATAGAACTAAGTGTTTCGCTATGCAATAGCATCTTCAGGCGCCACAATGAATCAGTATTGTGACACCCAAAGATGCTATTATATAGCGAAACACGTGTAGAGGTTTTTTTTACTCTCATGTGAAAATTTTACATTGAAGTGTTTTTAATACATTATGATTTGTATTTCTCTCGATATTTTACAATTACGTGTTAACGTATCCCATGTCATTTCTTGATCTTAAGGGGTTTAATAAAGTATTATTAGTAAAGTATTATATTGGATCTGAAATGACGTTACCTAATTATCCTGATAATTTGCCCGATAATTTATAAGGGTCTGAGATTCGCCAACTTTTTTTAATGTTCAATGTTTTTTGACTTAGTGAAACAAAATCAAATCAGACTATGAATTTATATTTAAGGAATTTTATCTTTATTTTAGACGATACGTTCAACTTCAACTTCGCCCAAGCCAAAACTGCGTGTAATCAATTCAAAGAGGCGGAAGAAACATTTCTTCTGATTCAAGATTCTCATATCAAAAATGACTACGTGTACATTTCCAATCTAGCAAGATGCTTCATTATGAATCAGAAACCACGACAGGCATGGGAATTATATCAGAGAACGGAAAGTGGTCCAGAGAGTTTCAATTTGTTGTTACTCATTGCAAACGATTGTTACCGCATGGGGGAGTTTTGGTATGCAGCGAAAGCTTTTGACTCTCTCGATAAATTGGAGCCAAATCCTGAATTTTGGGAAGGAAAAAGGGGAGCCATTGTTGGAGTGTTTCAGGTAAGCTGTTCCGAGGGATTGCGTTAGTTTTGAAAAATAATCTTGTTCACATAGGGTCCTTCATTTCCTTGAATTTACATAAAAAATTGTTTGTCAAATATCATCGAAATGTTTTATTCGTTTGAAAGACTTATTGATGCCATTATGTGTGGAATATATAACATTGTTTAAATGTCCGCTACGGCTTCTCTGGGTGGAGCGCATCCGAAACCTTCAATTTTTCATGTCTCTGGCGCATAAATCATGCTGAATTTGACTAATGACATGGGTTACGTTGGTTTTGAGGACCACTGTGGTTTGTGGCTTATTCGCATACACCTGCGACTTCAGAAAACCCCATAAGAAAAAGTCGAATGGGGTCAAATCGCACCATCTTGGCGGCCAGTTCACGTCACCTTCGTGTGAGATGACCATGCCCTCAAATCGCTCGTGCAGAATATCCAATGTGGCATGAGCTGTGTGACTCGTAGCGCCGTCCTGTTGAAACCACATGTCGTTGATGTTCAGATCATCCAGTTCAGGCCAAAAGAAGTTGATAAAAATCGACCTATAGTGCTTGCCGTTGACAGTGATGGCCTGGCCAACGTCGTTCTCAAAGAAATATGGACCGATGACGCCGCCTCTCGGTAGGATGATTATGGCGACCGTAAAATGGGCCAAGCGCAGAACTCAAATAGTCCTTCCTCTTTCGAAGGAGACAAGATATCAAGGTCGTACAAAATTTACATTTCAATACATTTTTAGGAGAAAAAAAAGTTTCGTATCACTCGTCGCCGACAGGGTGCTACCAATTTCACAGGTCTTATGATACCTCGTTTGATAGATAGTTAAATACTCTATTCAATACATTTTTGATTTTTAGAAATCGGATTAGCCGTTTCCGAGTAATAGGCAGTTCAATATTTGTTTTAAGAATCTGCAAACAAAACAATAAATTCAATTTCAATCCAAAATTAATGTTCAAAATGTTAATCATTAACTCACTGACGATAATCAAGTCTCTTCACAAATTCATTCCCTACGATATAAAATATTCCTAGGGTAATTTTGTTGCAATCACCGCTTTTTCTATACTCGAGTTCTGAATTGAACTGCGTTTATGTATCGTACATTTCCTCTCAAAACATGTAGAGGCTTCATATCAGTTGATTTAGTTGGATCTTCCGAAGTCTGTTTATCTGCCGGTTTGGATAAATAACAAACCCAAATGAGTTTTAAACTGATGACCCACTATACCAGATATGTTGCCCTTAGATATTGTAGAGGAAATTCGTGAAATATGGCGTATACGTTACTTAATCGCAGTCTATTTCAGAACTCATCAGAATAAGAGGTGCTCATAATGAAATTACCCCATATGAATTGCCAGGAAGTGAATGTTGAACATTTCGAATATTTATTGGAACACGAATATGAAACGTCTGATTACTCAGGAACGGCTAACCTGATTTCCAGAAATAAGAAAGTGTTGAATAGAAAATTGAAATAACAATCAGATTTCCTTATTTGACAAAAAGTTGGTAGCGCTCTTTGGGGAATTATAATTTTTAGATCAACCTGTCTATTATACAAATATGTGACACCAAAAAATTAAAAAGGAATACATAAAGAAGGAAAACGTATGGTTAGATTGAAGAACCATTGAGCATAGAATTCATCTTGATTATATTATTGTGTTTATGACGAAAAGATAAACAATTCTGCTATTCATTGGGAGCCGAACTTTGGGAGTTATTCTATCATCCATGGCTGCATACATTTCTTTATCAATGAAACGACCTTCTAACGGCAAACCTTGGTAGAACAAAAATTGTGTGTGAACTGTTGCCTCCAAAAATCTCACCTACCGGTAGTGACGAAAAAATCCCACTGCCGAAAACCGAACTAGGTTTGTTAAACTCGCAACAGCTGCAAACTTAGGATAAATGAGATACAATCGGAGAATTAGGGATAAACTGCTTGCCAATCCCAACAATCTAGATTCTTCTGGTTAGTAGCTAAAGCTGTTAATCTGAACTTTACAAAATCCACAATTCCACCACTGAAACAAGCGGATGGTTCAATTGCAACAACAGTATTAGAAAAAGCAAATCTACTAGCTGAACAATTCGCGTCCCACTCCACAGTCGATTTTCTGGGAAAGATATCACCCGTTATCCCTACACTAGAATCCACAATGCCGGAAATTACTTTTCAACAGTGTCTAGTCAAGCGAATTTTGAAAAAGCTCAATATCAACAAGGCATCGTCTGGTCTTGATGAAGTGCCCGTCATCGTACTCAAAAAGTGTACAAATGAACTCGCACCAATATTTTGCAGACTTTTCAACCTGTCTCACAAGAAAGAGGTTTTTCCTTCTTGTTGGAACATTGTTCGCGTTCAGCCTATTCTCAAAAAGGGCAAGAAAACTCTTACAAGTAATTATAGACCAATCGCTTTGCTATCAGTGATCATGGAAAAAGCCGTAAAACACCATATCCTCAAATATTTTGAAGCCTTCAACATCTTGAGCGATCATAAATATTGCTTTCGGAAACAAAGATCAACAGGCGACCTTCTATCGTATGTCACCCATATTTAGAATAACGCAATCGAGAAACATGGAGAGTCAAGAGCTGTTGCGCTGATATTTCTAAGGCCTTTGACCGTGTGTGGCATGAGTGCTTGCTGGTCAAACTTCGATGTTATGGCTTGTCGTATCATTTTTGTGTATGCTCAGCTTCGTGAAAGAACGTTTCCTGCAAGTGGCCATCGATGGATATCTCTCGAATACTTTCACCATCAACGCTGGTGTTCCCCAGTGCTCTCTTAATTGTATATCAACGACTTATTGGAAAAAATCAAGAATCCAGTATGTTGCTTTGCTGATAACATCACACTTGTCGTCACTACATTTGGATTTCAGGACATCGTCTACGGATGCACATCTTCACCGGCAGCAGCAGGTTCAATATCCTAATGAGGATCTAGAAGTAATTTCGAATTGGGGTGAAAGTAACCAGGTTCAATTCAATACCACAAAAACCCTGGTATCGGTTTTTTTCAAAAAGATAAATGTATCCGAACGGGATATAATAATGTTAAGTCAGACAATTCCGCTTTCTGCTTCGATAAGTTTGTTGGAGATTGAAATGGACACCAATATGTCATGGCACAATCATGTCGCTGGAATTGCAAAGGCTGCTTCTCAAAAGCTTGGAACACTGTTGCGAACCAGAAAACTTTATGAAGCTCAGATGAGACCTTCTTTGGAGTATGGAGCTCTGCCTTAAACATACCCTGAAGTTGCTGGATTCACACATCACTTGCAACCTTGACAGTTTGGAATATCGAAGAAAGGTTGGAGATTTGTCCCTCTTCTATAAATATTTTTACGGAAAGTGTTCAAGTGACTTGGTACATTTGATTCCACCAAGAGCGGTATATATCAGAGATACGCGAAAGACTGTGGCTGCTCATCGTCTTGTGATTCAACTCAGTTCATCTCGAACTTCACTGTTCAAGAACTCTTTCATTTGGAGAACGGCGTTTATAAATTTCCTGGGAACGTTTTTCCAAATGGATTTAATCTCCAGCGATTCAAATCCAATATGAATCACTATTCCGCACAAGCACCGCTCTGTATACGCCTTGAGGATTTTCCTGTTGTGCTTGTGTTTTGTCCTTAAAAAAATATGAACTTGAAAAACTATTAATTTTTCGATAAATTATGGTCATTGCGAAGTAAGGAAGAGCCTTTTGCGCAACTCGAGAAAAATACCATAGCAAAGGTATTCCATATCCCGACGTTAAGTGTTTACCACCGCTCTCTATTGTATCCAACTGCTACTCCAAAAACAACGTCACTTTGTCAATCACAAGTACAGTCCCAAAAACTACAGTCCACGTCTAAAGAGTGAAGATCATTCAGTATGACAAAAGGAAAAGAAGTTGAAATATCCATAACAATGTTTTCCAAATATTCTGCATCTTTTTTGATAAAACTAAGTTTCTCGTTTCTTACATTTGCAGTTTCTTTTATGAATTAATTTCTGATAGGGTGACAGTAACAATGTGAGATAGGTGGGTTTCTGCCACAAAATCTTAATATTGATAGAACTAAGCAGACGCAGAGACACGAAAAGAACTGAGGAGTGAATTGGCTTCAGAATCAAAATCATATTCAAATTGTCCTTTACATTGGGTAACAAGTAACAAGGTTGTTTCTAGTCAGATTTTGTTCGGCTCAAGAATTTAGATTCATATTTGAGGCGGTACATTTTGCGTGTTTTTTACATTTGGACATTGGAATGGACAAAAGTTAAGGTTGTATTTTTCTGAATATTGTATTTTCATTGACATTAGATGAATTATTTTCTTCATATTATTGGTAAACGAAGCTTTCAGTGCACCATTAATATGTCTCAACGCAATAACCTTTGTAGAGCCATGCGGTCTGATATTTAAAATTTTTTCAACTTCCAACCTAATAATTTTACTTAATAGTTAATGGAATTTATGAAAATCGCTTGCACATGTTTGAATTGTTCTCAGAATACAATAAAAACCGTATGTCGTCAACAAATTGTTTGGCTACGTTGTTACTCATCAAAAGTTTGCTATATTACTGGAGTTTTTTCCCAACACCAAATCGTTATTTTTACACCTCGACACGTGTTTCGATCACCAAGTGATCATCTTCAAGAGGAAGATAAAACTAATAACTACTCAAAACTAAAGCTACTTATACTAATCAGGTACATCATACAGGTAGGTAATCAGTAA